CTTCCAATTGATCATTTAATTCTATCCATATGTCTATGTATGCTAGGATGAATGTTCATGTGTTTTTCTCTAGATTTTGTGACATTAATGCATGTCTATGTGTGTTGATATTATGAATCTAGTGATGGTCAATGCATGGTGCTTAAATGGATTACTCTTGTGGTTTATTTAATAGTTCATACTTATTTCTTGATGGATTGTGTCACCTCTTTAGTTTAATCAGTTTACTTTTTATGTCATTAACATAGTTGTAGTGTAATTGTTTTAATTTCCTTGATAGATGGACAATCTATTCTTATTGTTTGATGTTCCATGCTTATGAATACAAGTAGTATATTTCTCTAGTTCTTGAGTATACATTAATTGTGGGCTTATGGAAGGATTAATGGCTTAATATGATATGTTGTGATATTTACTAGATTGACTAGACAATGCATGCCTACTTGGCTATCTATGTTAATATTTCAATTAATGGCACACACTTTCTTTTACAACATATAATTCCCCTAATCTATCAAATATTGAATTTCTAGGAAGGCAATGCTTAGTGGTGAACTCTATATCCCAAGAATCCTCTCTCATTCTCTACATCTTATTTATTTAGTTGTTTTACATTGCATTGCTTTAGCTTAAATTGTTGTATAATTCAACCAACAAACCCCTCTTTTGATCATTCGACCTACTAATCCAACATTGATTCCGAAATACCATGCCTATCCCTTGGGACAATCCCTACTTACTCTTACTACATTAGTAGTTAGTAGTGGTAGTGCCATTTTACAAATTTAAACTTGGCCACATTTCATCACACCACCTTGCACTTTGGTTGTGATCGGTGACAGGTCCACACCAAGTTTTGGCACCATTGCCGGGGATTTGGCAACGCCATATTTTGGAATTAATTAGGAATTAGTACTCCTTCGATCTTGTTTTATTTTATTTTTCTTTGTTTACTTATTGTGTTTGTTCCTGATTGGCTAGGTACTTGGAGCCAAGGGAAGTGAAACAAAGGAATTCTAAAGCAAAGAAGCTATGCTAAGCAAAGCATAAAAAGCTAAAAATAAAAAAAATTGCAAAGTAAAGCAAGGCAAAAGTTAAAGATATTTTGAAGTTGCTTAAGGACCCTTTGTGAGCTTTTCTAACTCTCTTGCTTACTTAAATTATTGGCTCGTGTGGTGGCAATTTATTTTCTCATTGTTTATCATCGGCCCGCGTGGTGGCAATTTATTTTCTTGCATTTGTTGAAAGCATGGGAGTATGGGATCAATGTATGTGGAGGTTTATTGTTGATTGACTTGTTACAAAGGAGAAGTGTTTGCTACTTGCTATTTGTTGAGTTGTTGTTTGTTTTGATTGTGCAAGCATGGTTGTAGGTATTTGAATCCTACTCTTGTCCCATTGAATTTTAACCTTGAATCAATTATTCATAATCCAAGGGGAAGGGGTAATTCAAATGACTCCATTTCATCAATGGAGGAACATAATGAGGACCATGTTGAAGACATTGGTCACATCGACAAATAAGACATTCTTCACCCTAATATGTATCATCAACATGATAATATTCAAATACCATTAGGTATGCCAAGACCTTTCATTCCACAATAACAAGGCCAAGTTTCAATGGGAATGCCACGGCCATTTTTTGTACCACCTCCACCTCCCGTTATTCAAGCAAATCATGATGCTCATGTAGAGCCACCAATTGTGAATCCTCCCCTTGCATTAAGAAACCATTATATGCCCAATGAGTATAATGCACCAACATGCATTCAACTCCCTCTATTTAGAGCACACCATTATGAGATTAAACCACAAACAATCCAAATGCTTCCCAATTACCATGGGCTATCAAATGAAGAACCTTATAAGCATTTGGATGAATTCCTTGAAGTGTGTTCCATCGTGAAATACACAGACATGCCGGAAGAAGTTTTAAGGTTAAAACTCTTCCCTTTCACCCTAAAAGATAAAGCAAAATATTGGTTCAACAATTTGAGACCTTTTTCTATAACTACTTGGGTAGAGATGCAACAAGAGTTCTTGAAAAAGTATTATCTGGTGTCAAACACCAATGCAATGAGAACTTCAATTCGTGAATTCTCATAAGGGGATGGGGAAATGTTTCATAAGGCATGGGAGCAATTGAATGATTTGCTTAGGAAATGTCCACACCATGACATTCCTAAATGGCAATTAGTTCAATTCTTCTTTGAAAGTTTGTCGAAAAACCATAAAGGTATGGTTGATGCTTCTATATGTGGTTTTTATCTTGATAGGCATGAAGATGATGTGTAGCGCTTATATGAGAGTATGAGTAAAAATTCAATGCATCGATCTTTATCATCTAAAGAATCCATTGTTGAAAATACTTCAAATGATGTTTTTGAAAAAGCTTTTCAACCTAAGGCTCCATTTCCAGATCCTTTAAAAGCATCCACCTTTCTCGAAAAGCAACAAAGTAAGGCAAATGAAATCATTGATGTGTTTAGGCAAGTAAAAAACAATCTCCCTCTCTTGGATGCAATTCGACAAATTCCGGCTTACGCCAAATTTTTGAAAGATCTTTGCACCCTTAAAAGGAAAAACAAAAGTCAAGCACCGAGAAAAGTTGTTTTAACCGAACAAGTGAGCTCTATCTTGCAACACAACACCCTCCCAAAATTCAAAGACCCTGGTTCACCACCACTTCATGCACTATTGGTGATCATGTTATCAATCGGGCTCTTTTGGATCTAGGAGTGAGTGTGAATCTTCTCCCCTATTCAGTTTATGTTCAATTGGGCTTAGGTGATTTGAAACTGACGTCGGTAGTTTTGCAACTAGCCAACCGATCAATTAGGAAGCCCTGGGGTATCATCGAAGATGTTTTGATTAAAATTGAGAAGTTCTTCTTCCCAATTGATTTCGTTATCATTGACACAAAACTGGTCCCAAATCCCAAGAGCTAAATTCCCGTTATCCTTGGGCGTCCTTTCTTGGCTATCGCTAATGCCAACATCAATTGTAGGATGGGGATAATGAAAATCTCATTTGGTCACATGAAAGTGAAGTTGAACATTTTTAATCCAACTCCCAATTCTATGGACAAACATGAAGATGTATGTGTTGTTGAAAAATGTTTTGCAAATGAATTTGAAAAGAATGACTCTTTGCTTGGTGTAGAAACATCAAATGGTTTTCCTTCAAAAGAAAATGTTTTCAATCCTAGTGTTGAACGGGCATGGAAGCCCAAAGGTTTTGTTAATCAAGGGCTATCAATTTCACTTGAACCAAATCCAACAAGTTCCTTAGGGAATAGTTTGTTGGGTGGGGTTCAAAGTTCCATTCACCCCATCAAGAAGGGGATGCTTACCAAGATCTTTGATTCGGGCTAAAAGAGCCTAACATCTTACTAGAGATGTTAAACACTAGTGCTTCGTAGGGTTTTCCAACCCTATTCCTCCCTTATTTCTTTTTATTTTCTTTTCTTGCGTTGTCTAGATACAATATTTGATTATCTATTTCTGTTTTGAGGTTTTGATAGGGAATGTGTGCACTTTAATCTCCAAATTAAGCATTTAGTGCCTATTCGATCGATCACAAGAGCACATTCGATCGATCGAACACCTCTGCAGTCAATTCTTTGCAGATTTTCAAGTCTCTGTCCCATCGTTTGAGATTCTCTACAGAATTTCAGGTCTCTGTCCATCGTTCAAACTTTCTGTTCGATCGTTCCAAGGGCACCTCAATCGATCTGGATATCCCTGTGATCGATCTCAATTCCATACTTAGAAAATTTTTGAAGCTCTGTATATTTCAGGTCTCTGTCCCATCGTTCGAAATTCTCTCTGATCGTTTAAAGTTTTCCCTGTTGACTTTTTGTTAACTTTGACTTTCTAAATAAAAAATATATATAATAAAATAATAATCTTCTCAAAAATTCAAAAATTTTCAAAAATCGTTTGCTGTTTTGCATGTTCAATCGATCTGAGCACTTTCATGATTGATTTAGGTTCGATCGATCCGATGGACCATGTGATCAATCACACATGTCGGGAACAGTTTTTAAAAAATAGATCCAAGGGTCCTTTGGATCATTCATTTCATCGATCCACAAACCTTTTCTCTCTCCCAAGGCTTTCCTTCATCTTCCCCATCCCCGGTGAGATTCTGGTGAGGTTCCAAGCGTCAAATTCTCCATCTCCTACCTCATCTCTTTTGTCTCTTCCCTTCTCTCCTCAGATCTCGATAAGTTCAAGTTCTATTTTCTATTTTTATTTTGATTCATGTGTTATCTTGTTGCCATGCTTAGATTCGAAGCTCTCCATGTTGATTTTGTTTCCATTTTTGGAATTATAAGCATATGTATATATTTGTATATATTGTTTTTGTTTCCGAATTGGGTTCGGGGGTCGCGTGCCGTTTTAAGTGACCATTTTTGCATTGTTGAGGTGTATAGGGGGTCACGAGCCTTGAAGTGACCATTGGGATTCGCCCCGTGTCTTCCATGTCACGAATGGGTGACTTTTTAACTTTCAGCAAGTTTGATCGATCACACTAGAGCTTTGATCGTTCAGAGCACGATTGACCCAATTCATGTCATGATCGATCCAACATGAGATTGATCACATTTTTCCATGATCGTTCGAACTTCACTGTTTTTCATACTCATACTCCTGTACTCTCTCCTGTGTTTCATGCTATCATATCTATGCCCAATGCCTGTGTTTTCCACATTGGTTACATTCTTTACTTGTCATGTCTAGTATGTTTCATAATACTTGATGAATAAGAGTATACCCTTATTTGTTCATTCATTGTATATACTTGGTTTGCATTACCACTTGCATAAATAAATTTATGTGCTTCTATACTGTGATATATGCTTCATTTCAACATCGTGTTGTCTATCTTAATATGACAAGCATGTTTCTATCTTTCATGCTTTCATTTATGTATCTTATACACCATTTCCTGTTACTCACTACAATTGCAAGTGTTCATTTTTTTTTTTGCAGGCCATGACTAGGTTCAAGACTACAGCTAACTGGACTTATGGTCGTCGAGTGAGGCAGCGGACTGAGGAGCCAGCTCCTGCACACTCAAAGCATTCTTCCTCCTCTTCTTCCTCATCTTCAGAGAGTGCGCCCGAGCCACCTCCATTACCTACTCTAGTGCCACTGCCGGCACAACCAGCCATAGTCTGAGACAGGGTTACTCAAAAGTTTGCACGTCTTTCAGTGGCGCATGAGTCCATTTTTGATGAGGACATTTTTGCACGGGCAATCACGGCCAAGTGGTCGTACGACGAGATCTACCATCGCCACTTTTCTCCCATTTTGGCCCCAGTGACCAACCCAGTCTACCCGAGACTAGTTCGGCTTTTCTACCAGAACCTTAGGCCGAGTCCGAGTAACCTAGCAGAGTTGCGGACTAGCATTGATGGGCACCTTATCCGTATTACTGTCGAGACACTATCGACAGCCTCTCAGTGCTCACATACTTGTCCTCTGGGGATTAATTACCCGACTTTGCAGAGGCCATCAGATGCCAACATGGCCACAACCCTTCATGGCACCATCATTGCCGCCGACACTTATGCCATCAGCAAGGACTGCATGTGGTTCTTTAATTCGGTCTTGTACCAAAATGTATATATGGCAAGGCACAAGACCTAGCGGCAGGCAGACTTTCTAATAGTTTTATATGCCATTGATACAGGGCATTGGTTTTCAGTTCCTACACTCCTCTGGAGTATTATAATGAAGTTATATGACGAGTTCATCAGCAAGAGTGACCCGTAGCGGCCCAAGTTCCTCCCTTATGTTCACTTAATTACACAGCTCCTCAGGGACCAACAATACCCATTTGATCCAGAGGAGGTCACCAAGCTTGGTACATGCCATTACCGATGGAAGGACTGGAAGAAAAGCTACAATGCTCTTATCAAGAGTCTGGAAATAGAGGTAGCCCAGACAGCGGAGGATGCAAAGGTAGAGGAGGAGAAGGCAGCAGCAGTAGCAGCAGCGGGAGTTGATATTGACTTAGAACAGGAGCCTCTAGTGGGATCACCATACCCTTTACAGGAGCAGAGCCACCACTCCCAGAGCCAGGACGAACATCAATCTTCTGATGACTCGAGATTGCACCGTCGGGATGACCCATTCATTCCTGACACTCAAGCTCAATCTAACATGCGAGATGAGTGTTTTCAAGCATTACAGGACGCAGTCCTTTCACTTAGGGCAGATATGGCCACCCTCCGCACAGATGTCATGACAGCGCTAGGAGACATATCTAGTCAGATTCGGGGTTTACGCTCCGCCAGACCGTCATCTTTTGCCTAACCTCTTTATCTCATACTTATATTTCTGATCTTAGACTGTTCTTTATGATACTTTTACTATATCTTTGTGGCCAATCTGTTGGCTTGGTATCTGTGATGTACAGTATATTTTCATTACTTTTGGATATTTTGGATGTCCTGTTTATATTTTGATTATCAGGTGCAGCCCATATTTTTTAGGACCATTCTTATCCCTCTCTCTCTTTTATTTACTATCCCACTTACACTAGCATGCCCACTGTGCACCATTATTTATCCTATTTTGTTATTTGATGAGAGTTTATCCCAAGTGCCATCTTTTCAGGACCACAGTTAATCCCAAGTTTGGGGGAGTTATACCACCCACTTTGGATACTTGTGTCCCGCACATTCATCGCCATAGCTAGTACTATCTTTTCAGGACCACAGTTAATCCCAAGTTTGGGGGGGTTATACCACCCACTTTGGATACTTGTGTCCCGCACATTTATCGCCATAGCTACACTAGTATAGTCTTTCATCTTTCTTCTGTTCTTATTGCACATTGAGGACATTGTGCGGTTTAAGTTTGGGGGTAATGTGTGTTCTTTGCATTCAATTCAAAATTTTAAGCATGCCTTGTGTATTTGAGAGATTTACTATGATTGGTCCATGTTGGCTATGATTTTGATCTTTTAAGGTCTATGTTACTTAGAATTTAAAAATTACTTGACTTGAGAGTCCAATACTCTTTGTATGTCTTATGGATGCCATTTAGGAGTAATTTTTTTGAAAGATTGATATCTTGCTTGCACTTGTGGTCCATATCATCTTGATTTTGTGATTGTTTTGAGATTCACTCTAAGATTCTACACTAGTACAAGCGCACACTAGCATTCATTTGTGGGGTACATGCTTTGTTGATTATTGATTTGGTTATATCCCAATTGAGCTAGTAGTGCATTGAAAGCTTTCATTCTTGATAAAGGTGGATAACAAACCCTTTTACTAAGTAGCCGGGATTCTAACTTTATCAAGCATTGAATTTCTCGCGCCGAAAGGTAGAGGGCCCAAACTCTAGGTTAAAAATAAATAAATAAATAAATAAAAAGCAAATAAAAAAGTGAGGACTTCTCCTAAAAGGTGAGAAGTGGTAAATGATTATATGGATATTGTTTTGATTTGTAGCCTAATTGATTCGAGCTTGTAAGTCCTTAAGGGTGTTTAAACACATAATACCCTAAAGCCATCCGGTTTGGGAGTCATTGACCTAACGCTTGACCTTATGGATCGCTAGAAAACTTAATAGATTAACACATTACACTATGCTTCCATCTTTGATCCTTAGGGTTAAAAAAAAAATCGAGTGAAAAGAATAAGTGCACCTAGTTGAATAAAACTATAATAAAAGGTCCATTCTTTATCTTGATGATTGGTACTCGATTTGTGTGCAAGCTTGAGACCGGATGTGATCATTTTTTTAGTTGGCTTAGATAATAACATATTTGATGCCGGTTCACTTAAAAAGGATTCTAGAGTTGTTTTGATTTGCATAATCATTGTTTTGATGTGTGGAGGACCATACTTGCTTGTTTGATGTTGAAATTTTGGGAGATTTCTTAGAAATGGTTGAAAAATTGCATACTTGAGGTAGTTTTCTTTCAATGCTTGTTTGGAATATTGGTGCATCTTTAGTGAGAAAGAGCTTAATGTTTGTGGGTATCATTTTTGAAAACCCTCACGAGACTTCACTCGTCCACTAGGGGTAACCTAGGGGTTTAAAAGGCTTGTTGCATGTGCTAAATGCAATCGTGTTCCCTACGAAAGTGGCCTTATCTCTTTATTACTTTTTAGTGCATTTTTGTATAGTTATTGGTTTCTTGTTTTTCTTTGTAGTTCATTGCTAGGGACTAGCAATGTTTAATTTTGGGGGTGTGATAAGCGCAGAAAAATGCGCATTTAAACTCCCTAATTTTGAATATATTAGGACCATATTCTATCTTATTTTCTTGTTTTAGTCTAATTTCATGTTATTTCCCTTTTCAGGTACTTATCTCCATTATAAGTCAATTCAGCTGAATTAGAAAACAATCTCAAATCTAGTGGAAGTAAAGTGGTGAAAAATTCCTCTACGATCGATCGGACCAAGCTATGAGCAATCACGCTGTGATTGTTCCAACCCTGCCATGATGGATCAAGCCTTTTATCCTTATCCTCAGGAAAATTTCCCATTCGATCGATCCAACCTTTTATCCGATCGATCGAACCTTTTGATCTTTTTCTCACCAATCACTTTTTTCCTTTTCCTAAAAATATCTCAGCCTTGTCCTTATCCAAAAAGTGCGATGCCATACTTCGATCGATCAAAGCAACCATATGATCGATCGAACTGCCTCAAATTGCGTGAAAAATAGATTTTAAGCCAAATTGAAGGTGTGCTCGTGGTGTAATCATTTGAAGGTCCTAGTGTACGAGGTCTGACCATTGGGTGCAACATTTGAGCTACCTATATAAGGAAGTTGGCCATTTTTATTAAGAAGTTGGTTAGTTAGAAATGGAATTGGTTAGAGATTAGAGAGAGAAACATACATTTTGGGAAAGTTCTTCCATTTATCTAGGGTTTCTACCAAGAACACCAAAGGAGGATGATAAATTCTACCATGGAGATAGCCCTTGAGGGTTGGATGATAACATCAATGTGTGGCTAAACCATTCTTTTGGGGCTAGAGATAGCCCTAAGCATGCTTCCTAGACTTTGATGTTTTGAAATTAATGGGGATTTGCGTTGTAATTCTTGTTTTGACCTCTTATATATATAAATCTTGTTTCTACATGATTTGTGTAGTTTAATGCTTCCAATTGATCATTTAATTCTATCCATATGTCTATGTATGCTAGGATGAATGTTCATGTGTTTTTCTCTAGATTTTATGACATTGATGCATGTCTATGTGTATTGATATTATGAATCTAGTGATGGTCAATGCATGGTGCTTAAATGGATTACTCTTGTGGTTTATTTAATGGTTCATGCTTATTTCTTGATGGATTGTGCCACCTCTTTAGTTTAATTAGTTTACTTTTCATGTCATTAGCATAGTTGCAGTATAATTGTTGTAATTTCCTAAATAGGTAGACAATCCATTCTTATTATTTGATATTCTATGTTTATGAATACAAGTAGTATATTTCTCTAGTTTCTTGAATCTGCATTAATTGTGGGCTTATGGAATGATTAATGGCTTAATTTGATATGTTGTATTGTTCACTAGATTGACTAGACAATATATGCTTACTTGGCTATCCATGTTAATATTTCAATTAATGGCACACATTTTCTTTTACAACACATAATCCCCCTAATCTATCAAATATTGAATGTCTAGGAAAGCAATGCTTAGTGGTGAACTCTATGTCCCAAGAATCCTCTCTCATTCTCTATATCTCATTTATTTAGTTGTTTTACATTGCATTGCTTTAGCTTAAATTGTAGTATAATTTAACCAACAAACCCCTCTTTTGATCATTCGACCTACTAATCCAACATTGATTCTGAAATACCGTACCTATCCCTTGGGACGATCCCTACTTACTCTTGCTACGTTAGTAGTTAGTAGTGGTAGTGGCATTTTACAAATTTGAACTTGACCAAATTTCATCACACCACCTTGCACTTTGGTTGTGATCGGCAACCGGTCCACACCAAAAACCTCTGTTAAACCCAACATTCTCTCAATACCCAAGTCTTGATGAAGAAGAATAACAAGCACATCTATAGTCGTTCCATTCTTCCTCAAATTAACAAATTATCTGAAGACGAAGAACAACAAGCACATCCAAAATTGTGTCGTTCTTCCTTAAATGCAACAAAATCTCTGAAAACGAAGAACAACAAGCACATCCGAAATTGTGTTGTTCTTCCTCGTGATTCAACAACTTTGAAGAATTACCAAACAATATTGTTTGAAATCAAGTTTCGTCAGCCCTCGATCAGAAATCATCAGCAGTCATCCTCAAGTACAAATTGAAAAAGATTGTCAGCAAATCGATTCAAAATCAAGCTCTAACAGCCCTTGGATCTAACCAACAAAGGAGATCGAATCAGATGATATTTTCTTTCTTTTGTAAAGAACACTTCAGAGAATTGTACTCAATTTTTTGGTAAATCAATAAAGACTTATTTGCTTAATATTTCGTTCTTTTATTTGCAGATACAAATTTTGTGTGTACAGGTTGATCTACCGGCGACCTTTTTACAAAGATCAAGAGTTATACCTGAAGTCGAGTGTTGTTGGACGGGGGAGTTTCAAAGTCAGGGATTGTAAACAATTGATTTTTGGTAGAGCGATAAGGTGTGAGCCCGGGTCAGAGTCGACTGTACTTTGCTTTAAACATAATGGATTTTTCGATTGGGACAACGTGAAAATTCTCAAGATTTTTCTAATTGGTTTTTCTCGCTAAAAACTCGGTGTCATCTCTCAAACTCTATTTAACTTGTTTTACTTTACTGTCATTATTTTTGTGGTTGTTGATATTTAATTGGTTATAATTGTGGGTAATTTAATCAATCACAAAAATTGAACAAGTTGACTTATTCACCCTCTCTAGATCATTTAAAGTGTTAATCACAGTCATAGTTATTAAAGGCCCAAGGCACACCAAGGCGCTAGAGGTCCTATGGAGCCTAAGTGCAAGGTGCACGGCGAGGTGCGCGCCTGAGTGAAGTGAGGCGCACAATTGAAAATTTAAACTATTATAATAACATTCATATCTCATAAGTCATATCAATATTCTAAAAATTAATATGAAATAAAAAAAGTAAATCCATCAACAATACAAGCATCCAACAACCATAAAACAGAGCACAAATTTGTTTTCTTGAAAGGCAAAGCAAAATGTGTTTTTTGAATGGCAAAACAAAGCACAAAAAGAAATAAATATGTTAACAAAAAAAAAAAAATTGTTAACAAGAAAAAAAAAAAAGAAAAAGAAAAAAAAAAACAGAGCAAAAAAAAAAAAAAAAGACAGAGAGATGAGAGAACT